ACCTACGGTCAGTGGCGGATTAACGTATAGGCCAAGTAGGCCCGGGCCTAGGGGCGCCTTAATTTTATATTATAAAAAGGGCGCTGTCTACGACGTCCAATATAAGGGGGAAACATACGAAGTTGACGTTCCTTAGCAATAATTCTGAAATAATAATTTTTTTTTTTTTGTTTTTGGTTATTAGCACTATATTGGCACTATTTTATTATTTTTGTTATTAATTTTATATTTGTGCCATAGAGCAAAGTTACTCTAGTATGGTCTATGCACGTGTCATGGTAGATATTTTTGTTATCAGTCTGTACTTTCGTTGATGAAGAACGATTTTTTTGTTCAGCAGATCAGCAATTTCGTTTTCTAGTGTTTAAAGGTTTGAATTCGACTTGACATGTACTTGTTTTCAGTTTTGTGAATTTATTTTTATATATATATTATAATTTATATATATATATCACATATTTATTTCATTTTTTAAAGTAAGTTTAACTATTTCTTAATATTTACTTTACAATTATTGTGGAATGCAATGATGCATTAGATAATCAACAAGCTATTTATAAACACTAAAATTATTGCTTTGAATTGGGCTTGGTTAAAGATTTTGCATTTTAAGGTATTTGCAAAAAGTAATTATTTTGCTAATTGCTATTTATACCTATATTTATGCTTTTTTTTTTTTACATTATTCATCATTATATTATTTCAAAATTACTTCAATATTGATTTAATTTTTTAGTTGTATTGAAATGTAGAAAAGTTAGTGAAATTAATTAACTAATTTACAAAAAATATATTTTTAATTTTATTCTTATATTATATCACTAGGTAATAGGTATAATATAAAATTTGCTACATAAATGTATTATTATCGTTTCAAAATTATTAAATTATTATTTAAAATTTAATAGGTACCAAATTTAATTTAGCACAGAACTGCTATTAAAATAGTTGTTTTATATTTTGTTTATATAATTATAATTATTAATTTTATTTATTATTTATTAGGAATTTGGTATACTTTATTGTGTAGATATTGTCATTATGGTTAAACCAAAATTAAGTGGAGCTGAAAATAGAAAACGAGCATTAGAACAAACTAAAACCATTGAAAAAGTTATAAAGCAAACTAAAAGAATAGATTCATTTTTTATTCACCCTACTTCTGCTTCTACTTCTATTTTAATTATAAATTTAATTAAATTTTGTTTAAAAAAAAAATTGTGCAAACTAGTTATAGAAGAAGGTTTTTATAAATATATTATAGCTAAATATCCTTGTTACTTGTTGATAAACCTATATTTAGTTTTAAGGGTGCTATTTTATACGGGCCTAGGGGCGCCAAATCTCTTAATCCGGCACTGCCTACGGTCATTTGTTTAAGAGTTACACCAAAAACCAAAATCGATTTTTCGAAAACAGATTTTGCGTAAAAATTCCCGTTTTTCCTTAATTTTTCTTTTGTTTTTCACGGCGCTTTTGAAAACTAATAGGAAATTTTACTTTTGAAAAAACTAATAAAAAAAATTTTAAAAAAACACACATCATTGTAAAATCAATACATTCATCCTTCCACTCAGAATCTAAAAGACATATGATCTATACTTGTATAAAATATAATATTGATATTAATTTATATCATGACTTTATATAGGTACCTACCTTTTATTTAATGTCTTAATATAAATTATTATTTTAAATCAATAATTATAATTCATACTGGTGCAGTGGTGCGATATGGCATTTATTTATTATAGTTTGCATTGTGTATCTTAATACATCTATGAGCATTAGATAAATAATTATATAACATTCAAAATCATTTAATTTTAAACTTTAAAACTAACAACTGTTACCTACCTACTACATAGGTACCTACCTAAAAAATTAATAAAATAATATGAGAATAATAAAACTATAAAAGCATATTAAGTAGAGCCCAAATGTATACTATAACTTATATTATCTAGTACCTATGCCTACCTAACCTACCTACCTATTTAATATCATAGAAATATATAAATTACAAAAATTAGTGAAAATACTTAATTTACAAATTTCAATATATCTACAATTAATATGATAGTTTATTTAACTCATTGAATGATGTGAAATAAATCAATATTACTGATATAATTTCCAACCAACATAAGTGTATTCACAGGTGAGTGCATTAAGTATGCACTAGAACCAGGGCCGGCGAAAGCTATGGGCGACCTGGTCGACTGCCCAGGGCGCCAGCACGGAAGGGGCGCCAAACTAAAAATTATTTTTATTTAATTTATCTTTTAATACGCATTAACAATTTATAAAATTTTAAATATTCATAATTTAATGTAGCTTTAATTGAAGATACATCTGTAATTGTTTCATAATTTTGTATAATGAACTAGGTACCGTAATTCGTAGGAATATAACAGTTCATAGATACAGCGATAATATTTACCCATTTATAAATAAATTCATATGACTAGACCCGTTCGGACCTTATAGAAAAAATACCACAGTGTGGGGTAAATCAAAAAGACACAATTGCCTGACACACGCTAGTACTACACACACAAATATGTATTGTTTTCGACGAGCTCTTGCTACGTACGGTCTGCTGTGTAACATCTAGGGCAGAGGGCTTGTAGCATTTGCATATTTGTTTTGCTAAGTCACAAAAATAGCAGAGTATGAAACAAAATACGTCTCGTGCTTTCACAAAGGTAGTTTTGAAATTTTATTTTGCATATAAATGCAGATTTTGAGTCTTTTTTGTTTTTATGGCATATTTTACACTTTTATACTCAATTTTATACTTTTCGAGACATATGTAACTTAAATCAACTTTTTCCACACAGACATTATTTTTCAAATAATACAGTCCAAATGTTTGGATGAAAATTTAAAAAATGTAGTAGTATGAAATAGCCGGTTCTGGTGACCCCCCGCTTCACCACCCCCCCGCCTATACTGCACCAGTCTGCACCACCCCCGCACCGCCCGCCCACCCAAACAGCACCAGTCTGCACCACCCCCTCCCCACCCCGCACGTGTATCGGAAACGTTGGCCACTAACCCCCCGCACCACCCGCTCACCCAAACAGCACCAGTCTGCACCACCCCCTCCACCCCCCACCCACCATGCACCACCCAATCCTATGATCGCGTACGTATCTGACCACCATTTACCCCCACCTATACTGCACCAGTCTGCACCACCCCCTCCCCACCCCGCACGTGTATCGGAAACGTTGGCCACTAACCCCCCGCCTCACCCCCAGCCGATACCGCACTTCTAGACGCCAAACTGCACCACCCCCTCCCCACCCCGCACGTGTATCGGAAACGTTGGCCACTAACCCCCCGCCTCACCCCCAGCCGATACCGCACTTCTAGACGCCAAACTGCACCACCCCCTCCCCACCCCGCACGTGTATCGGAAACGTTGGCCACTAACCCCCCGCCTCACCCCCAACCGATACCGCACTTCTAGACGCCAAACTGCACCACCCCCTCCCCACCCCGCACGTGTATCGGAAACGTTGGCCACTAACCCCCCGCCTCACCCCTAGCCGATACCGCGCTTCCAGACGACATCACTGCCTTGCCACCTCCCATCGAGACGTCGTGCGACACCACCACCACCACCCCGCCCAGCGTGGACGCCGCGCTCACGGAGCGTACCACATTATCACCGACGGTGCTGCCATCTATCCGTTAATCGGACGGACGCGGTTTTTCGAATTTTATCATATTATATTTCAATGTTACCCTTATCATATAATATATAATATACATACATGCATACATACATACATACATACATACTTTTACCAGGATACCAAGTCAAATACTAATACGATTTAATTGTTTAATATAATTCGATGTTTATTCAATACAACTTATACAAGTATCATAATATTATATACATATAGGTTATTGTGTTATACTGAACATTGATGATTATCACCCGACGACATCATACGATTCAGATTTACATATACGGGCTTGACTATTACCATTATCGCGATTATTACCAACATCATACGGTTCTGATTTACAACGACAACAGTCTCGAATGCTTCTATTATCACTACGTTTGAGATTAAATTCATTTTTTACATTTTCAATAAATTCCATGCCTTTATACAATAATACGAATACACATTTAGGGTTGTGCAGGGCGTGTTGCTGCCACACTTTGTCATTTTCCTCCCATTGCCCCAACAATAACCCGCAGTAGTGACATTGAACCAAATCCTCAGTCCCGGTATAAGTGAATCCGCTGGCGGCCAGTGAATATTTATCTTGACACGATCGAGCCGGGTGTGAATCGAATGTTTTCAACCTCGATAAAAAGCTTGTATACTGAGGATATTCCGGATCAGAGTTCTCATGTACCAAAAGCACTAGTGATCGGCAACCGATGGTACATTGTAATATATTCATTGCAAATGAATCGTAGAAAAATATTTTAATCGTAAATAATGCGTTCCAACTGACAACGTTTAAACGTGAATAAAACGCTTCTAACCAGTGTAACCGTCTGTAAGCAACTGTCGGTTATATGTCGAAAGCTAGCGGGCGTTGCAATACATATACAGAATAATAATAATAATAATAATATAAATTAAAATATTTAGTTATCTCCAGTTATCAGATAACAGTGTTAACAGTCGTAGGCAGATCTGCAAAATATTATTACCACCGCTGGTGTCGTTATCATGGTCGACACATGTGCATATTGTGTCCGTTAATTATAAAATGTATTATACCCCAGCGTCACTTGGTACTAGCGGTCGAATATTTCTACAGCCTTTATAGATACTGTCCGATATCCCCCACTACCCGACCGCCCATCACAGCATCCGATATTCGGGTCCACCGTCAGCGCATATGTTCTACAAATCAGACGGTCAGTGCAACTCGACGACAACTGGTGTACATTCGTATTACCTCGCTCACTCCGTTAAAATAACTTCTTTATTAAATCTTATTAAATTAAATCTTTAAAAATGTTTAACTGCGAGATATGTGAAAAAGTATACGTACATAAACGCGCTCTGAACAGACACGTTAAAACTCATGATGGATCGACGAATTCGTGTGGGATATGTCTCAAGGTGTTCAGTCGGTGGTCCAACCTCAGTATCCACGTTCAAAATCACCATAGTAAGTACATTGAATATTATATCGTTGATCCGGAAAAAACTTCTTAGTTATTTATACGCGAGTATAAAAACTAGTTTGTAGCATTTTTCATATCTCGAATAAGAGATGTTAAATTAGTTTTATGTATGCTGAACAATAAGAATATCACACATACGATGTTTTTTTCGACTCGACAATGATTTGCTTAACTCGGGGTTATTAATTAAATTATTTTTTAAAATAGCGATCGCTAAAAACACACACGAATTCCGTGACGCTGTACGAGTAGGTGGTGCAATGGGTAAATAATTTTTTTCTCTTATAAATAATAATAATAACGACACTATTTTAATATTAATAATATATATATTAGGTCGCGCATCAGTCATAAAGTGGGCACCCCCAGCCACTTCACCGCATGCTCGACCAGATGTTCTGACTCCGACGGTCATCTCGTCACGCCGTCGTCGTGCGGACATACCTACCCCCCAACCTCAAGCCTCATCATCGTCATTGTCCAGCCGCACACCGATTATCGTTTCCCCGCCACCCGCACAGGCTATCGTCGACGAACCCGACACAAGATCCCCCGCGACCGCCGCACTTCCGCTTTCGCTTTCACCGCCGCCAACCGGGGAATTTGTTGCTCATACAGAAAATACTCCGAAAAACATCAAACGGAAAAAGTCACGTATGCTAAGGGTTAATAGGCCGGGCTTTATTGAGATCGAGTCTTCGCTCAATCGTACTATCGTGTGGTATTTTAGGAAAAATATCGATAATGTGACAAGTTACCGAGCTTTCCTAAATTCAATAGAGTCCGAATTAATCGCGAAATTACGCGAGTGCGGGCGTATTAACCCGATCAAATACAACCTGAAATTAGAGGCCACATATGTCGTACCAAATTTACACAATTCAGATCAAAACCGTGCGTTTAAAACTTCGGCCCGCGAATTATACGTGCACAGTAATGTCGAGGCGTTGGTCGATCGCGATTTCACAAGGCTCCTGGGGGAAGAAGACTCTTACGCCGGAAAGTATAGCGGGTTCACCTTATCGTGTATCGACGGACTGCTCTTGGGTGTGTACGAATATACGCCTATGGGGGGATCGTCGTACTTACCGTTGCCGGAGAGTATTCTGAACCGGAAGGCCGTTGTCAACCCGCAAAATATTGACCGGCAATGTTTTAAGTGGGCTATCCTCGCCAAACATGTATCTAACGATCGCACACGAGTAGGTGCAAATTATTCGAGGGAAGAACACCGCTACGACTTTTCTGCACTATCGACCCCCACCCCCGTGTCGGAGTTAATGTTATTCGAAAAGTCAAATCCCGGGACGAGCGTCAATTTATACGGCGTAAGAAAATGCGCGAAAAATAAAAAAAATAAAAAGTCGTCCACACAATCCGTCGCATATCCACTGCGCGTCGTAGACGAAGAAAAGGAAAATCATTTCGATCTGCTCTTACTCACCGGGAAGGATGGTGACAACCATTATGCTTATATTTCGAATTTTTCGCGCCTAGCAAGTCCGCAAAAAAATAGCCATGATCATCGTTTATTTTTCTGCAAGAGATGCTTCGCCAGCTTCGACAATCAACCTCTGAAATATAAATTACACGGCGAACGGGCGTTGGCTAAGCATCGATTGTTATGCGGCGAGCACAAACCCGTATTGCCTCTAATGCCGAAAGAAGGGGACACGCTCAAATTCGAGGCGTGGCGTAAGACTGAACGTCTACCGTTCGTAGTGTATGCCGACTTTGAAGCCCTACTACTGAAAACGGACCGGAGACAAGGCGCGAATACCACTGCGATACACACACACCACCCCATGAGTTACGGCTACCTGGTCATCGCAGCGGAGGGGGTGCCGACAGACTTGTTCGACCAGTACGATATACCGCGGGCTCCGGTCATTTTCCGTGGTTCGGCGACCGATGACGATGTGGCCGAGCGTTTTGTCAGCGACGTGCTCGGCGTGGCCGAAAAGATAGCCAGATTATACAAAGAAGTAATTGTACCGATTATTATGAGTGTTGAGGATAGTCGCGTGCACGGCGTCAAGATAATGTGTGACTTGTGCGCCTGTGCGTTTAGTGAGCACAACTGTAAAACAGCACACCACGACCACTTGTCGGGACGTTTTCTAAAAACATTGTGCAACACGTGCAACCTCAAATTAAAAACACCTAATTTCGTACCATGCTTCCTACATAATCTGTCCAACTATGACGCGCATTTTATCGTGACGAATTTGGCGAACGGGGGTGACACTAACAGAATTTCGGTAATCGCGAACACGGAGGAGAAATATATCTCATTCTCGAGGTATATTAACAACTCGTTCTCCGTCAGGTTCATAGACACGTGCCGGTTCATGGCGTCGAGCTTGGCACACTTGGCGGAGAACCTCACCACCGCAAATTTCGACAAGTTTCGCGAAGTCGCGAAAGTGTTCGCCCCTTCGGAGATGGAGTTGGTCACGCGGAAAGGCGTATACCCGTATGAATATACAGATTCGTGGGATAAATTGGACGCTACGTCGCTGCCGGATAAGTTCCAATTCTACAGCGCGTTGACGGAGACGCACGTGAGCGACGAGGATTATAGTCACGCGACCAGAGTCTGGAATCATTTCGGCTGCACCTCACTCGGCGCTTATAGCGATTTATACCTTAAAGTCGACGTGGTGTTAAGCGCCGACGTGTTCGAGAATTTCAGGGATATATGTATGGCCACATATCACCTGGACCCCGCGCATTACTACACGTCGCCCGGATTCAGTTTTGACTGCATGCCAAAGTTTACAAAAGTTCAACTTGAACTTTTAACTGATTTCGAGAAAGTTCTGTTTACTGAGGCAGGGACGCGCGGGGGTCTGGTGCAGGCTAGTAGGCGTCACGCTCGTGCCAACAATCCCGCGACGCCGGGATACAATGCCGACGAACCTAGCACGTCTCTCATATACTTGGATGGTGATTATATTATAATATAAATTATATATGTGTGTATATTAATCCGTTTTTTTCCATAATAATTTAGCAAACAATTTGTACGGGTACGCGATGTGCAAGTATATGCCTATTAGCGATTTCACATGGTACCCAGGGAATCCGGAAGTCGCGCTGGCCCAGCTGGAGTGGATGGGCGAGACGGACGACGTGGGTAGAATTTATGAAGTAGACATCTCGTATCCTCAACACCTGCACGACGCCCACAACGATATGCCGTTCTTGCCCCACGCCAGCATACCACACGGGTCCTCAGTGCGAAAGTTGATGGTCACTTTTTTGAGGAAAGAACGTTATGTAGTTCATTATATGAATTTGAAACAGGCCATGGCCCACGGTGTGGTAGTCGAAAAAGTGATTATTAATATTATTATTATTATTATTATTTGTATACGAATCGCATCTTATAACTTTTTCGTACGCATTACAGACACATAGAGTGTTGGAGTTCCGCCAATCCCCGTGGTTAGCGCCATACATCAATTTTAACACCGAATTACGCAGACAGGCGGCGAACAAATTTGAAGAACAATTTTTTAAAGATTTGAATAATTCAGTGTTCGGTACGTTTTCTTATCAATTTATTTCACAATTTAACCATTTACTTATAATTTTTATTTTTCCGAGCTTTAAACGGTACAAGCTTTACATCGTGATTATTGTATGTCTGCAGGGAAATCGATTGAAAATATGCGGGCCAGATTCAACTTGGAACTCGTATCTTGCCCCGCCAGGATGCGAAAGCTGATAAACCGTCCCACATTCAAGTACTGCACGACGTACAACGAAAATCTATCGGCGGTCACGCAGCACAGTAAAGAAGTGGATTTCTGTAAGCCGATATATATAGGATTTACCGTACTGGAACTCAGCAAAGTTCTAATGTACGGATTTCACTATGACGTTATGAAGAGACATTACGGAGATAAGATCGAATTACTTTACACAGATACCGGTACGTCTATATCGAACTAATGCAGTCTAACGCAGTTTTTATATTATATTATTATTATTAAATGTTTCAGATTCACTATTCTACCGCGTGGTGACAGACGATTTTTACGCCGACTTGATAGACAACCCAAATCTGATGCGGTTCATGGATACTTCCAATTTGCCGAAAGACCACAAATGTTATTCAACTTTGAGGAAACGGGTGCCGGGTCTTTTTAAAAACGAAACCAATTCCCGTACAGTCTACGAGTATGTCGCGTTACGAGCGAAATCGTATGCATACGACGTGGAACAGGAGGTCACAATTCGCTCGAAGGGTGTCATGAGGCACGTTATTAGAAATCACCTCACATTCGCCGAGCATAAGAGGTGTTTGTTTGCCGACGTGGATGACGATGCGGAATCCGACGAGTGCGACGACGAATTCGACGCAAATATGGGGAAAATGTTCGCTGCCGATTCCGCACTTAAAGCTGTCGCTCAAATTCATCGGAACGCCTCAACCGACTCAACCAACTCGTCGACGGCGGTCACGCATCCATCCCACGTCTACAGCTACATGCCATTCACGCCGTATAGGGAAAATGTGTCTATACGCTCGTTTAAGCACGAGTTACGCACAATTAGATCTATGAAACTCGTCTTGAACAGGGCAGACGACAAGCGTTACGTGTTACCGGACAACATTTCGACGTACGCGCACGGTCATCACCGCATAAATTATTAAATTGTTATTATTGTTATTGTTATTATTGTTATTGTTATTATTGTTCAACGATCTCATATCTGTATATATATATATATATTTATAATCTATTAAAATATCTGTATAAATTGTATAATCGTGAAATGTGACTGCTGCATACTTATATAACCTGATAAAATATATGTATATGTATAATGTATAATCGTGAAATACAACCGTTGTATATAAAAATATGAGAGTGTACGATGCTAAAATATTATATTAACTACGTTTTGTATTTAATCTCGTGTTTTTAAATTATTATTTTAGTATCGCAACCTAATCTTCTCATCCTTATCATATTTTACCTCATCTTTATAATCTTCTTATCCTTATCTAATCTAATACTCACCCTTATCTTACCGAGGTCTCGACAACATTATTATTATTATTATTATTATTTTTAAAAAACCCCCGCTCATTCGCGCTGTGATAAGAAGCGGGGCGAGGATATTTGATATGCCTACATACGGTGTTCTGATGGCTAGCACTTCTCCGTCAGTCAGTCAGTCAGTCTTTGGAGTTAAACATTTACTCGCGTGTAATAACGATATATTAATATGTCGTCAGAGGAGTGCTCGTTTTTCGATTATGGGCTCAAGTCTCGATGCGCGGTAAGTTTTATAATTTTATACCACTCTACTTAAATTAAAATTTATTTTATTTCATTTTTAGTCACCTGATTTATTCGCGGAATCGCACGATCTGCGCAATTACACGTTACGAGTAGTCGAACGCATAGTCGAACCACCAGTAGATTTGGGATTCAACCCCGGTCAACGTTTCTCGTGGAAAACGACCGATTTGAGTCAGTCGTTGCTACAAGACGCTCAACAGTTTACGTGGGAGACGCCGGACTCTAATTATTCACTGGCGGTACTCGATCTTTTGTCCGGACGATTTCCCGATGAAGTGGAAGTATTAAGTGAGTCTTGATATATATATATATTATATAATATATAAATAAAATAAAAACTCATATTTTGAATTTTCAGATGATATACGATCCGGGCAAACGACCGACTACGTGTGGGATAGCAGTGACCCTAAAGATAATTGTGCTGAACACTGGAAAAAACGTTTGATTTCAAAATTTAATGATAAAATGTAATATAAATAATTGTGTAAAATAAAATATTATTTAGAACATTGAAGTCTAGTTTTTTTTTTTTTTTTTTTTTTTTTTTTTTTCCAAATCTAGATAATAGATTTTCACCGTAGAATACCTATTATTATTATTATTATTATTATCATTATGACAGAATAATTATATAACTTGTTAAATGTATATAATTATATTATACGACTCCTAAATTCGTATACAAATGTCGACTATTAAATAATAAAACCTTATAAATATAAAATATTTCACCATCCCGTATTTGCGAGGATAAACCTTATAATAATTATTAAATATTATATTTTTTAAAACCAACTCATTGATCGGACAAAATAATTACATAACTTGTTAAATGTATATATTTATATTATACGCCCCTTAAAACTATAGGATCTAGATAAAATGAAAATAAAAACATATTTTTAAATTATTTTATTAAAATAATAATATAGTGAATATACAATATGAACAAATGTAATATTCATATTTAAGAGCTCCATTAGAGATTTCATTGGAAATCTATAATGAAACTCTTATTATTCATTCCTCTATAAATGAGGCTCACTACGGGCAAATTCCCGATATTATACGCCGCTATATCCCCATCACCCATTTGAACTGACTTCGGTAAAAATACGTTGATCGTGCCAGTTCCCGCGGGGTTGCACAATATGCACGTGACAGCTGTCCCGTACTTTGTCTCCACGTTTTTCATGGTTTTCACAGGATACGACGCATCCTTCACCAACTCCCCGATTGACATATTCACGTTGTTTACTTGGGATTTAAGCGATTCTAAAAATGCCATTTTTAATAAACTGCAAACAGAAAACCAATTGTTAGATAAAATAATTTGTTTAAACGTGAACGCATAGCGAGAATAGTTATTTTTATTATTAAAGTAAAAATTAACTCACTTTGATTTTAGGAAGAAATTTGAATAAGTTAGAAAATTTGATGCTGGCACTGAGTTGGTGGATATTAATACTGAAATTTTTAAAAATATCGACTGTTAATATTGAATAAAAATGACGTTTGAAACAATTGTATATACAATTATTTAATTGATTAAATTAACTCACTTTTTTAATTAGAAGACGTGTGTGCAGAGTCGTGTGATGATGTCGCCTTGATATAGTTGAATGTGAATAGGTAATGAATTCAGAACTGAAAAATATAACTCCTGTTAATTTCGTATAATATAATATAAATTAATGATATTTTAAACATTATAGACATTACACTAGTGTAATACGACTGCATGTAATAATAATTAAATAAAACTCACTTTATTTGAACGGCGGTGTTTGTGAATATTTGGAACTTGTTGATGGACGATATTGGCTATATGGACGAGAGGACTGTTTTGAGCGGGCGAGAAAATAGGACTGATTTAATATTGAGTGGACAGCGGACAAGTGTCCATCGCCATCGACGGCCACCCCCACCTAAATCGTTCGGCGTGCGCAATATTGTACCGATTGATATACACACATGTGTAAATTACAGTGAAAAAGGGTTGATCCTTGAGCGGATCCTGCGCGTCGTATACCGGAATGTGTCGTCTTGGCCACGTGCATCCGTCCGTCCGTCGAATCGTCCGACCTTCACAGTCTTGACCATGTGTGTCCGCCGGGACGCCGACGCAGGCTGACAGACCCCGTCTATGCCCGTCGCCAGATGTGGCTATTTGAGCGGTCTAAACTCGATATTCGTGCTCATAATATAAGGGTGAAATATAATTCCGTGTAAATTATATTATTCTACAAATTATTTTTAAAAGAATTTTTAAGGAATGCGGAGTTGGCCGTGAGACCGTGCGAACGTAGAACCCAGATGTCAATTATATATATATATATATACATATACATAAATACATACACACACATATATATTTGTGTAATAAAACGCAGCACACGATTATATAATATAATATACATTTATTCCATAAATAATATGTTCAGAAATTAAATTAAATTATATATTATATAGCATATTATTTCACGTATTTTTTTTAAACCATTTCAACAATTTGAAAGCTCGGTTATATGTACACTGTGTATAATTTAAATTCTTATGGTGTAAACAACACGGCTCGTGTTGTTTATTTCCGGCAAAACCAGCCTCGTGTAGTTGATCTAGTCGTGGACAGTCCAAATCTACACCCATCTCGTAAATTTTGACATTGGGAAGGAATCCTTCTATGATCTGTCGCTTTTCCTCGCCTTTCACGTAAATGCATTCGAAATGTAATGAATTCAAAATCCGCGGGATTTCTGTATATTGGACATCACCACAATCCCATGATAGTTGGTGATAGTTGCGAAACAACCACATTGACGGCTTCGATTTTCGCTGTATTGGGTGTCCGCGAGTGTTTAAAAATCCAGTGTTGACTAGCCAGCCCCTCTAAGTCCACTACCGACATTTCTTTTATCATGTATTTCGAGTTCGGGCCTAGCACACACTGGATATCTAGAATAGCTGACGACATAATTCGCGCGATTGCTATTTCTATATTATAATATATAGATAATTATATATTAAAACGTCTTGCCGGCACTGAGCTTCGATGAATACTGATATCCATCGATTCTATCCTCGAGTATAACTATCCTGGAGTATGCGTTAGCCAAGTTAGTTTTCAAATCTTTGTTATTTTTATTTACAATCTCTATGGACTCGATTAAAGATTCAATTTTATTATTGGTGTCCGAAAAATATTTATCGACCGTCGGTACGAGCGTCGATTCTATTCGCATTATTTTCATTTCAATCACTCGAGCCCCGTCACCAAGCGTCGAGATTTTTTTCTCGTTCGCCGCGGATATATTACTATGTACAGCTAGTTCCTTTGTAAACTGTTCGCCAAATGTAGTAATTTTCGCATCATTTATCTCGATTAAATCGACGTGTAACGCGAGCTCTTTTTCATATTTTTCACCCATATCCGCGATGACTTTATTCAGCCGGCTGGCCGGTGAACCTCCAAACGCGTCCATCGCCCCGTGGTAACTGTGATCATATTTTAAGATCGGACTTATTTATCCAACTATTATGCTCGTCCGTAAAACCTAGCCAGCGAACGAATACACGCGGGCCTTTGGTGCGAATTACTTTTTCCACCAGATAATCGTCGGGCCACAATGTTTTGCGTATTTCTTCAGCGTAAAACCCACCGGCGATCGGGCTCCCCGTATAATCTTGGAGGATAAATGTACTAGGTGAAGTCTTATTCACTTTAATAATAGTAAATATTTCCGTAGACCAATTGGGTAAATATCCTTTGGTGAAAACGCCCTTGTACACGCTAATGCGGACTTTGTCTCCAACGCAAAATTTTGTTTTCACGGTTTTTTCAACATCGTAATTTAATTTTACACGCGTCGGGTGTGCATCTGCCTGCATCGGGGTCATCCCGATAGTTCTGTGTGTCGAATTATTATAGTCATCGATTACAGAGGGTAAAATCCTGAACCACTCGTGTGAACCTCTGCTAGTGAATTCTTTAAACATTCGCCCCTTAATCGTGCGAATAACCCTTTCTACTATAGTAGCTTTGAGCACACTGAAAGTACTATACATTTTTATATCGTGCTTTTTTATTAAATCTTTAAAATTTTTATTGTAGAATTCTGTCCCCTGGTCAACGTGTAACAGGTTAGGACTATTCTGTGCGAAGATTTTACTAGCGGCAGCCGCGACTTCTTCGCCTTTTTTAGTCTTCAAGGCCGTAGCCCACACCCGTTTAGTAAAACAGTCAATAATTATCAGGATAAATCTATATGATTTATTCACAGCGGAGTATTGTTGCATGTCAGCGAGATCTGCTTGGAATAAATCGTTTTTACCGTGAACGACGACATGACGTCGCGGATAGTTTCTTCGGGCCGACGCGTGAAGTTCCGCGGCGATATCACGTTTAGACATTGGGTATTTTTTTCAATATTCGCGCTTCGACCAGTTCTTCACAAATCGATATTATTTCGTTACGAACCCCCGTGTTACCCGCTGCGAGCGACGAATACAATAGACGTAGTCTATCGACCAACTCGTTAGGTTTATTCCAATATATTATATTGTGTTTTTGCAATCGCATATTAATTCCCGTGCCAGTAATAATATTATTTTCTCCAGAAAACAAATTTGAAATTATTTCATATTTTAACCCTTTAGATTTACGAACACGTTCACCGTTTGACGTTCTATGTCCCGATGTCTGAATTAAGATCTGTTTATATGTACTTAAATCTGCTTGCGTATATTTTCTAGACTCTGGGGTCTTCAGGAATAATAAATTAATAAGACCGCCCGTCACTGGGTGTGTACGAGTGTCACCTCCTATGTGTATCACGTTATCGATAAACTGTATTTTTTTATTACCCAATTCGAATATGTTGTTTATTAATTGTTTAGGTCCGTATATTCTGTCCAACCACGATTTGGTCCAAGGTCCAAAACGTGCATTCAAATCTTTATAAGATGTAGGTGCGGGCTGAATGGGCGGGAAACGGTTCACAGCATAACCCACATCTGGTACCGTCGACGCCCTCGACGACAGGGCTGGCGGTGGTGGCGGGGGCGTCTGCACAGGCGACCTTTTGATATTCGATTTTATCTCGCTCAGCGGGCCGATAATCGAACTAAATGTGTTATTAATTAACGAGTCCGTTTCAAATCTACCCGTTTTTAACGCATTATATTTCTGTTTTATATTCGCCCTCGCTTGAATTATATCTGTCAATATCGTAGGCGTTGATACTGGCGAGTTGTTCACCTTATCCATGATCTCGAGTTAATGTAGCTAATTCCTGTGTGACGCCTTATTATATAACGACGTACTTATCGAAACCGTGTCTATACCGTCCATTATCACGTTCATTTTCGCTACTGATAACAACGAATTCGAATCTGCCTCCCCGCCAGCATGACATGCAAAAATCTTTAAACTCCGAGTATTTGATGTCTCCAGAACAATGCTCGTCGTATACATGCTTTAAATTCATTTCGTCTTGCTTGAAAAGTACAATAAAATTTGCGTTATCGCGTATTAGCTGTTTCGGTACCCGCGAATACGATTGCGCTAAATAACACACATCTATTAGATTGTGCCTAGATCTGGCGAAGTATGATCTGATGATACCGTGGTTTTCCGTTATTACATCGTCGAACAGGAAAACCGAGTTAGGTAGTGCTTTTTCCGGTTGAATAACCGTTTCGTTGTCTCTGAATTTAAATAATTTAACGCCTGGAACACCGCTCAAGATCTCTCCGAGCATTACATATTTAGCTTGATCTAGCGTTTTTGAGTAAATATATACATTTTCAAATTTAATTCCGTTCTCGTGAACCAATAGCGTGAAAATAAGATTTGTTTTACCGCACCCGGACGGACCTACGATCAGCGCACGTATCGTGTTCGGAAACAGCGGGCCATGTCTCGGCGGGCGCGCCGCAGCCCCGTTATTACATAACGATAGCGGGTCGATATTGTCGACTTTCAGCTTTATCACTTGGTCTACGAACCGCATTGTATAAATACACTTGACGTTCGAGCGAGGTGCTCATATAATGTTGCCGCGTTCGAAGGTCAAGACCAATAGTGGTGCAGGTCTGCTGAACACCGTAATAAATAGTCTGCCGATTGAACTTCATATCCCCGGCTATCAATATTGTGGTCCTGGGACAAATTTAAAAAAAAGACTCGCTCTTGGTCAGCCAGGAATAAACGGATTGGATTCGGCGTGCCGAGAACACGATATAGCTTACGATAAAAGTAATTCTTCGTCCGTACGCGGCGCGGCTGACAGAATTTTGGAAGAAAGTGCTTGGAGCAGAGTCGGGGCGAACGACGCTGATTATAAAGAAAAAGCTGCCGCGTGGCTCGTAACTACGGGGATGAAGGCTAAACGGAAAATCGGTGCCGGATGTGGGTTTGCTAATATTGTCGGTGTGTGTAAAAAAGCGTTAAAAAAATCGATAAAATCGTGTGTCGGGACACCGAATATGAGCAGCTTAATTAAATCGACTGTCCGCGTCGCGCGGAAACATGTAAAGTCTGCGGGCGTCCGATCGAAAAAAAATAAGAATAAACCACCACGTATCATCAGAGTTCCAAAAACAGGAGGTTCATTAACTTTAATCCCGGTATTGGCGGGACTTTCAGCGCTCGGAACGCTGGCCGGAGGTGTTGCCAACATCGTTAGAACGATTCGTGGCATTAGATCGAAGGCCGGCTCACCCGTGCATTTAGGAAAAGGCGTGTATCTAAGTCCGTATAAAAGCGCGGGCTCGTATACTATCGCGCGGAAATCTAACGCTGTTGCTTCGCGGAAATGTGTCGGCAGCGGGTCTGGGAAAAAAATTATCAAGAAACGTAAGAAACCGGCCGCGGGTATAAGAAAAAAAAAGAAAATGCGAAAAATTAAATCTAATAAAAAGTCGTCGACGTCAAAAAACTAAGTCTACCCAATCGAGCCCTTTACGATTTCGAAATTAGTGAATACGCTAAACTCTCGAAAATACCTCATTTCAGAGGCGTATATTGTGTTGACAAGTTGCCCGCCGCACCTAGACGTGAAGAAGCTGCGGTTGTCAATCTAGACTTTGAAAAAAATAAGGGGACGCATTGGGTGTGCTATAAAAAAATCGGGAAATTTGTTTTATATTTCGATAGCTTTGGCAATCTCCGCCCACCATTAGAGTTGGAAAAATATTTTAAGGGCTGTGATATTGAATATAACTACGTGAGGGAACAAGCGTTCAATACTTTCAACTGTGGACATTTATGTTTGAAATTTTTAACCGCGAAGCGAAAATAATTATATTATTATTAGAATAAATAAATATTTATTATTATTAACATTTCCACCGTTGCAACATGTCGTCGTCTCAGACAGTTTCGCTGAGCGGACAGAGTTCCGAATTGGAATGTAATTTTTTCCCGCCCTTAGAAGTGGGGAGTAAATCAGAAATCGGGCTTCTGAGTATACAAACATATAATTCCATACCCAACGTTGGGGCTGGATGTGATACTCTGCATATTATTCACGGTAGTCAGCGAGTGACCACTAAGATTAAAATACCGACCGGTTGTTACGAAATAATTGCTTTGGAAGCTAAAATACGTGAACTTTTAAAAGACATTGGTGTACGTTTTTTCAGTCTGTCGACCGATAACAGTACGCTTAAATGCACACTGCATTGTAATAGTGAAATCGACTTAAACGTCGACGACAGCATTGCACCGTTATTGGGCTTCGATAGACGAATTTTGGAGTGCGATCGTAGACATGAATCCGATCGTGTGGTGAAAATTATGAATGTCAACACGATAAAAGTCGAATGCAACTTGGCTTTGGGCTCATTCGACAACGGTCGGCAATCGCACACGATACACGAATTTTATCCGGTCGTCCCGCCTGGTTATAAAATAGTCGAAATACCGAAGTATTGCGTGCTTTATAAACTGAAAACAAATACGATTGATTACGTGCGTGTGTCGTTGACTGACCAAAACGGAAAATCAATTGATTTTCGCGGTGAAACTGTGAACGTTCGGCTCCTTATAAAAAATGGGTTTGAAGTTTAATGTCGATAAATACGCGGTCGTCAATGGCGGCTCCCGCATTAAAGCTGCGGCTGTCGTCAGACACACACCACAGTACACCGAGGTCGTTGTTCGTAAAAAAGTTAATAATATTAAAAAAAATAAAAATTTGACATTAGTTAATCGTAAAATTTTTACGTTAATTGCCGGCAAGTAAATATATATTAATATTACGCACACACTATGGACAAATCTTTCTTGGACGTTGGCGGGGCGTATGTCAACGAATCTCCGATACGCGAAATGTTTTTACATTCTTTTTTACCGTTTTCCTCGTCCGCGCTAAACAATGGCGATGAAATTCGGATATCCATTCAGAATCGCGATGCACACACACTGCCGAGCGATAGTTTTATCTATATAGAGGGCAAAATAACAAGGCCTGAAGGACTTAAAACTCAGATAACTATCGCACATAACGGTTTGACTAATTTGTTTACCGAGATGAAATACGAAATAAACTCTACAGAAGTACAGCGGGTTAAGAAACCGGGGATTACCAGTGCCATGAAGGGGTATTGCTCGTATTCGCCCGCCGATGAGAATATCTTGCAAAACGCTGCATGGGATATCACTAACAAAAATGTTAATTTCATGAAAGACGATACGTTCAGCGGGTGTATCCCGTTAAAACACGTTTTTGGTTTCTGTGAGGACTACAGGCGAATACTGATAAATTGCAGTCAACAACTGATATTGAACAGATCGATGTCGGATACGAGCGCGTTACATTACACCAGCGTGGTAGGCGGCGACATGGCTACCGAGACGGTTAAGGCTATGGTGGCTAAAGTCAAAGTTCAGCTAACGCGAGTGTTGTGGAAAGTACCAGTGATCAAAGTCGACGATCGGGAGAGGTTGAAGCTGATGAAAATCATTGATAGCAAAAAAATGATAAATTGTGCTTTTCGAAATTGGGAACTTTGCGTTTATCCGAATCTACCGCAAACGAGCAAACACTCTTGGATGGTTAAAACTTGTTCGCAGGTTGAAAAACCTAGGTGTTTAATAATCGCTTTTCTCACCAATACGCCGGGAAGCGTGTCGGACGGTTATAGCGGCGATTACGATGCATGTTCGTTGACAAACGTTAAAGCATATATTAATTCGGTCGAATATCCGTACGAGGATTTCAACGAGAGTTTCGACAAAAACCTGTTTACGATGTTCTATCAAAATTATATCGATTTCCAAAAACATTATTACGAGAGGGATAACTCCCATCCGTGCCTGTCGAGAGAAAAATATAAAGAGTTGGGACCATTTATCTGCATAGATTGTTCGCGACAAAGCGACGATGCGAAAATTTCTAACGTAGATCTCCGTCTTGAAATAGAAGCATCCAATAACTTTCCCGCTAACACGGCTGCCTACTGTCTGGTGATTCACGATCGCGTGATTCAATACAACCCGTTTACCGTGAAGTGTAGAAAACTATAATAGTATGACATATAATATCTGCTTGAAATTCATCCAACCCTTGTACGGTATATCTGTGTATGCATTTTACCATAGGATGAATACGAGGCTTATATATTGTATAAAATAATACATATTATAATATAGATGTAATTATGTTTTTGTAATAAATGAAATAATAAAAAAATACGTGTCTTTTTTACTAAATGTAATATAATGAATATTATAATATTGATGATATATATATATATATGTATGGTACGACACAAGTACAAATCGAATTTAACAATAATAATAATGGTATGTGTAACACAATTTGGGTGTGACGAGAATCTCTGATCTCGCACACATATGGCACATTTATATTATATATACATATTATAACACTATATACATGTGTTTCGCCTTAATATTATTATCCTTGGTCAGCGGATGGAATATCGAGGTCGAGCATGTGGTTGTCATTAACAGCGGCAACGACAATCTTAGTGTGTTTACATTTCAGACCCCTCGTTCTCATGGAATCCAAAAATCTGTGAAAAATTATATATATATATATATTAGGTTTACTTATAAATGTATGATATTATAAGATGTAATATTATATCTATAATACTGTATAATAATAATCACCTCTTCGATGTCTGCACCGACACCGCCATTACTCGGCGCGTAATCCATACCGTTATTTTGAATATTGCCCGCCCAACACAATGCCAACTGTTTGTTGGCCGTCAATTTTATCTGGTTCATGAAACTGTTCTCACTATTTGGAAATATATTCATCGTGTGGAGATTATTATGTATATTGCTGGTGGCTGTAGTAATTTCTTCAACGGTAGATGATTTATCGACGTAGACATTATTGCTCAAATGTGTAGCTATCTGGTCTAGTTGCACCATAACCGTGCAGCGCGTGATGTTGGATTTTCGGGAGATCGATTCACTGACGGCCCATTGCATCTCGTGTATTCTTAATAGATCGCGCTCGCTCAACAGCACACGGCATCCTTGTTGTAGACGTGATTCGACGACGAGCATACTTTCGCCGCGATATGTAGTTCTGGAAAGCGTGTTATTCTCGTCTTTGAGAAAAAGTCTCTCGCGACTTTTAACCGGTGGATTGGTTATATTCGGCAGAATGTATGGTAGTAGTGAGAAAATTCTATGTAAGAATACACTTGTTATGCAAACATGTCTCGACGGCGTTATAATTTGCACGCACACGTTGAAAACGTCCGAGGCGTCAAGTCCAATGTTAATTGATTTGCGACCCGAAAAGTCAATGACAAAGCTCGAGCAGTCGATTAAATCGTTGGGCGGCTGCACGGTCGTCGAACGACGTATATTTTCGCCATCACGTTCACTGCAAGCCTCCGAGACGATTTTTTGAAGTTTCCCCGTCATATTTTCACCGTCAGAATTAAACGCACTAGTTTCACGTTAAGCGGTTGTAGTGTTACTGGTTTGCGTTAAATAATTAACTTGGCGGGCGCGAAATCCGCGCAATCAATTATTTAAACTTAATCTATTCGTGGTGTACACCAAAAGTGGTGGGGGTAACGTTTTAACATGGTAATATTGAAATATAATATGATAAAATTCGAAAAACCGCGTCCGTCCGATTAACGGATAGATGGCAGCACCGTCGGTGATAATGTGGTACGCTCCGTGAGCGCGGCGTCCACGCTGGGCGGGGTGGTGGTGGTGGTGTCGCACGACGTCTCGATGGGAGGTGGCAAGGCAGTGATGTCGTCTGGAAGCGCGGTATCGGCTAGGGGTGAGGCGGGGGGTTAGTGGCCAACGTTTCCGATACACGTGCGGGGTGGGGAGGGGGTGGTGCAGTTTGGCGTCTGGAAGCGCGGTATCGGTTGGGGGTGAGGCGGGGGGTTAGTGGCCAACGTTTCCGATACACGTGCGGGGTGGGGAGGGGGTGGTGCAGTTTGGCGTCTAGAAGTGCGGTATCGGCTGGGGGTGAGGCGGGGGGTTAGTGGCCAACGTTTCCGATACACGTGCGGGGTGGGGAGGGGGTGGTGCAGACTGGTGCTGTTTGGGTAGGCGGGCGGTGCGGGGGTGGTGCAGACTGGTGCAGTATAGGTGGGG